TCTTCCCCGTCTGGAGACCCTTCGCGGTGATCTCAAAGCGACCGTCCTTATGGAATTGCTCAATCTAGTCCCTCTCGTCCTCCTCCTCCTCATTTTACCTCTTCGAGCGAAGTTTGTTTTGGGGCGGGGGGTGAGAGTGTCGGGCTGAGGGAGCAGGGTGAAGAAGGCCTCGGCTTCCGCATCACCACCCCCTTCCCCCCCCCCCCCATCGCCGTCGCGGCGGTGGGGGCTGCGTTTCGTTTTGTTTTTTTCGGGGGAGGGGGGGGGGGGGGGATCGGAGGGCGGGGATTCCTTTCACCCTCTTCCCTCTGCCAGAACTCTCTCACGTTTACAAGGCCCGTCCTTTGTCTTCGCCAACTTCGGATTGATGAGCTTGCGATCCTCGGGGGGGTCGCCCGTTGTCTTGATGGTTGTTTTTTTCTTGGGATCTGGCACCGTAAGCTTCTTGGCGCGGTCCGTAATAGACTGCGTCGCCTTGGCCTCCTTGCGCACACGAAGAATCTCCTTCCTGCGGCGCTGCGTGCAAGGGTCTGGTGGCTCATCGAATTTGTCGGGCTTCGATGTTTTATCTGGGCCAACATCGGGGGCGTCGAGAATCTCGTGGCCGTCGATGAAGTCTTGCATGCTCATCGAACGAGACGGTGCAACAGAGCGACACGATGGCTGAGATACCACAGATATGTCAGATCTCGGTGACATCTGTGGAAACCCATCTTCATCGAACTTCGCCGCGTGCTCTGGGTAAGCTATGGTAGACGGCACTGTCGCCAGCGACGCCAAGCTTGAACACTCGGCCAAGTCACGCTCCATATCCTCGACCTGTCGCAAGCCTGTCTTGAACAAGTCACGCATCGAACCGCTGTCTGATAGAGCCGCGCCGCGCGGGGTCGGTGACATTGGCGGCGCCGAACCTGATAGCGGCGAATCCACAGGCTTCTTGGGATCGGGCGTCTGGATGGGTACATCGCTCAGCTGCGTGAGCTTCATCATTCCGACGAGGGCGTCGATCACGATTCTGTCGGCGGCCCCGCACTGCCGCAGGAATGGCGACGACTTCCTGGAACGGGTTTTACCGTCGCTCGAAGTTTCGTCCAACTTGATCTGCCTAACCATGCTGAAGCAATTCCTGACGTGATCGGTGATGGTCGTCGCAGTGAGCTCACTTCCGTCACTGCGCACCGCCTTTGTAGCTATCATGAACCGAGACGTCCATATAACTCCATTCCACACTCCTTTTTTCATCAACGACTCCAACAGCTTATACGATCTGACCACATGAACAGGTGTCAACCTATTGATATATGTGTTCAAAGGCTGCAGCACGGACTCGAGGGATCTGCCGCCAGCGAAATCCTTTCAAGCAAGACACGTAGTCGGATTCTGCAACATCTGGGTTCGCAACCTGGCGAGGGCGTTTCGATCCCATTGTAAAGTTCAGGGCTCGTCAAAGGAAGCCAGCTGAGCCAAAACGGCTACGATGATAAGGAGGGGTGCGAATGTTGGCCTTTTCACCCCGCCCCGCTCTTTCGATTCAGACTTTCAGACAGACCCTGAACAACTGTGACACTCTGAACGCACGTGAGACTAACCTTACAGACAGCTGTTTAAGGATGAGCGATGTAGATTCGGTGTAGATTTTGCAATTTACGAAGCATCTACACCATCGCGTTGTAGATTCGTTGTAGATTTCAAAATCTACAACGAATCTACAACGAATCTACACCATATCTACAACATATCTGCGACATGGTCACCAGGATTCCTTTGTGGCCCCCAGGTTCCCTTGTCGGGGCCCCATGTGCCACGTGATTTCAGGGCCCCAGGGCCCCCTTCAGGGGCCAGTTGTTTCAGCGCACCAGATTTTACATATGTTTTCTGCTGGGCCCATCGCTGGGCTCGCCCGCTTCTCGCGGGCTCGGTCGGGGCTCTGTTGCCCGAAACGAGGGCGAGGCCAGGCGGCGCGGCAATCGCGCCGAGTGGGAACGGCAGGCAGCCAGCGGGGCCCCGAGATGGGGCGAGCGGCAGGACGGGGAGAGGGCGATCAGAACGAGTGCGAGAATCAGGGTCAGGAGGGGATAAGTAGCAGGGGTTGAGAGGAAAGAAAAAAGGAGTAGCACGAGGCGAACCGTTCTGCCTCGGCCTCCTGCGCGCGGGGCGCCGTGCGCCGTCCTGCGCGCGGGGCGCCGTGCGCCGCGTCGAGCACTCGGCCCAATCGAAACGTAGTTTCGCTCGGTTCAATCCTTAATCAGCCCCTGGGGGCCAAAATCGACTCGGCCCCACTGGTTGCGCCAAACACACCCAAACATTTTTTGAAACGAAAACCTCATCCTTCGATCCTTCTCATTCTCTCCGAAGCGCCCCCAGCGCTGACCTAAAGCTTGATCGGCTTCAAGCCCTTGGCCGCGTCGGCGGTCTTGCTGCCCTTGGCCGCGGACTTCACCTGGATCACGATCTCATTGAAGAGCTCGACCATCTGCTTGTACGGGACGCTCATGGCTTTGAGAGCCTCCGCCACGTCCGCCTTCGAGATGTTGCGCTTGGCCTCGCCCTGGGCCACCAGGAGGGACTCGATGGCCTCGCTAGGCCCCGCCACGGCCTTGCACGAGCTGATGGCCCTCCCAGACATCAGCTTCGTGGTCTCGGAGTTGCCCTCGGCGGCCATCATCTTGGTGCCCAAGCGGCGCAGGGCCAGAGTCACCCTCGAGACCGCGTCGAAGCTCTCCTGCGGGTAGCACCCGCTCCCACTCCTACTCATACCCCATGCACCTTCCCACTCCTACTCATACTCCTACCCCCACTCCCCCCACTCCCTCTCAGGATTATGAGTGGGGGGAGGGGGGGGGTAGGAGCATGAGTAAGAGTAGGAGTATCAGTAGGGTTGGAATAACACTAGGAGTACGAGTAGGAGTAGGAGTCCTGCATGACCGTGAAGTCGCCGTCGTCCGCCTGCGCCCCCGCGATCTTCTTGGGGACCCCCTTCTGGCACTGCTTGAACCAGTCGCCGAGAGGCTCCGCGGTGAGCTGCTCCTCCTGGTCGCACAACGCCTGCACGAACTCGTCGCTCGAGAGCAGGCCGCCCGTGTCCTCCTCGCCCTTGTAGCCCTTCTCCTGGACTCTCGTCCGCTCGATGGTGTGGGACTTCTGGCAGTAGAGCCCCGTGTCCTCTGCCTGGTAGACCTCCCCTGCGTCGAGCGCTTTCTGCGCCAAGGACTCGGAGCCGCCGAACTTCGTCCCGACGAGACTCCACCATCCAAGGCCGTGCGCCGTCTCTTTGTTCTCGTCGCGCATCATGCTGCGCTGGAAGCGCTTCACCGAACGTGTCTTGATCAAGACACCCACACCGCCAGCAGCCTTCCTCGTGACGCAGCTGTTGATGATCTGGTTGACCTGCGCCTGCTTGCCGACGGTCTTGTTGGCTGTGTCCATCAGCTTGTCGAACTGGGCCACCAAGGCCTGATCGAAGATGTGGCGATTCTTCGCGAAGGTGTGCCTCTGGGCACGAGTCGTCGTGCGGGAATCAGCTGCTCCGCCCTCTGCGTCCTCGTCGTCCTTGAGGGTGTTCTTGCCCTTGCCGCGCGTGGCGGCGATGCTCACCAGAGGCCCCTCGTCGGCGTCGTCCTCCTCCTCGTGTTTGTCCTGCTCGTGCCAAGCCGCTGGCCTGCGGAGCTTCGCCGCGGGCATCGCCTTGGCCGCAGCTGGGCGCTTCATCAGAAGCCGCGTCCACAAAAAGTGGATCCTTTCTCGTCAGATGGAGAAGCCCTCTGAATGGCTTGAGCCAAAACGGCAATGGCTCCTCCTCCTCCTCCTCCTCCTCCTCCTCCTCGCTCTCCCACCAGGGCACAGGAACCCAGGAATCCAAGACCCAAGGAGTCCAGGCGCGCGCCCCTGGGACCCATCAGGATCCCAGGGGCCCATGGGCCAACGAAGCCCTTCAACCAGAAATCCAGAAACCGAGGGGCCGAAAAACATCGGAAAGATAACGCTGATTAGCAGACGTGGCATGACGTAGCTCAAACTTCGCGGCTGTGCCCGCATACGTTAACTGCGAAACAACATCCCAACACCAGGCCAAAAACTAAGTGCAAACTAGGTGCAAACTAAGTGCGTTTTAAGTGCAAGTCTAAGTTTGTTCTAAGTCTAAGTTGAGGTACGAACTAAGTAACTTAAGTACGTTCTAAGGTAAGTTCATTTTAAGTTAAGGTGCAGAACTTAAACATAACGTATCATTTCTTTTCTGTGGGTGCCGGATGCTCAGGGTCAGCGGTGCGCGCACTCGTTGAAAAAGCAAGAGCTTCACGGATTGAGGGCGGCTGGTTTTCAAAATGTGGTTCGCGCTTTAGCGCCTCGCACATTTGTTTTGCAACTTTGCCAGGGCTTCACGGATTGAGATTTAGGGCAAGTTTTTTTTTTTTTTTAAAAAAAAAAGAAAACAAAATGCGTGTCTCGCCTTAGCACCGTGTGCATCCGTATTAAACAATGGTCCAGCTTCACGGATTGAGGGCGGTTCCTTTTCAAATGTTGGTTCTCGCCTCACCGCCGCGCATATTCGTACTAACGCATTGCAGGAGTTCTACGGGTGATCATAATGAACGTGCCAGAAATTGTGTTTGGGAGCAACTCAGGACGGTCAGGGCGCAACAGTTACGTTGATTCGTGGTGTTGAAGTCCCGGGAACGGGGTTCTGGCACGACTCCGTGTCGTCAAGACGCAACAGTCAAGTTGTTTCGTGGCGTTGAAAAGTCCCTGGAATTTTGTTTTGACTGACTTCCGGATGTTCAAACGGCGGTCTCCCAACGGGGCACTTCCCTCTGTTGAAATGAACCCTTGTCGGGGCCCAGGTATGAACACACAGCTTGGAGGGGATTTATCCAAACATCGTCGATGAGTCTCGGGTCTGTTCTGACCCTCCTCCTCCTGCTCCTCCCCGTCCCTCCACCTCCTGCTCCTCCCCCTCCCCCGTCCTTGCCCCCATGTCGTTGCCCCCTTGGCGTCGTCCAGAGGTGGTGAGCCCTGTCGAGATACAGCGCACGTGGGCCCGCGTCCGGGCGGCCTACCTCGACGTCGTGGGCGAAGCGGGGGGCTCCCGCGTGCGGGCGGCGGGTCGGCTGGACGCCCTGGAAGCGCAGCAGCGGGAGAGGCAGGAGCTCGAGGGGAGGGAAAGTTACCGATATCGCTACCCAGACCTCGGATCCGCCGTATTTTGCCTAATCTTCCTATTTGGAAGCTGTGTCGGGCATGGACCCCGAACGAGGGGAGGGAGGAAAAACCACTCGGACCGGACAATTGGCGGTCACTAAACGGCCTTGGGCGTTTACTAAACAGCCCTGCCCTGTTCGATTCCGTCAGTGGGGGCGTTTAGTAAACGGCTTCGCGTGTCGGGGTGGTTATTATGGGGGGGGACTTTTTGCCCTCTATGGAGGGGAGGGGAAGTTTCCGACATCGCTGCCCAGACCTCGGATCCGTGGTATTTTGTCTGATCGTCCTATTTGGAAGCTGTGTCGGGCATGGGCCCCAAACGATGCGGAAAGGGAGAGCGGATCTTCCCGCCCCAAAGAAGCCAGGGCGGACATCTACTCACAAGTCTGGCGGCAACAGCGATGACACAGTAGACCGTAAATCTGCATCGAATGAGCTTGAACAGTAGGTCTTAAGTTTCCGCCTTGATTGCGAAGTCGCCCAGGAATGCGGGGGATCTGAAGTCAGGCTTGCATCGGTTTCGCTTGTTTGGGCCGTCTCGGAAGCCCGCGTCTCTAAGGTTGGATTCGCTTCTAAATCCTGGTCAGAACGCACCCCGGGTGAGGTCCGGGGAGTAGCGGTACTGGTATCGGCTGGATTCGCCTCCAAATCTTGGTCAGAACGCACCTCAGGAGAGGACCTGGGGAGGAGTGGTATTGGCAACGCTTACTTCCCCCAGGAGCGGCAGCTCCAGCGCTGGAACTGCAGGCGCATGGCCGAGGATCGCCACATCAAGCAGACGGGGTCCGGAGGGGAATGGGTCCCTACGGGGAAAACCATGGGGGGTGCTAAGTGGGCAGGGGGGGTTACAAGTGGATGCTAAGGTGGTTTTACCTGGCCAGGGAGGAGGGGGAGGGAAGCAGGGGGATAGGAGCAGGAGAAGGAAGAGGAGAACTTTGCACGCAATTCACGGCTTGTGCGCGCCATTGTTGCTCAGGGGCAATGCTAATATTCTCTGTGTCGCTCCAATTGTATTGGGTGATTCCCGAAGCGACTCTCGAGTAGCGTAGGGGGCTGAGATAATTCCGCTCAGTGGGCGGAGCCCACTTGGCCCGGATCGTTGACCCCCCTGAGCTATTTTGGGCAGTTGTAGCCTACGGCAGGTTCGCGTCGTGCCGACCAGCGGCGGCCCCGCCAGCGGCGTTCAATGTTGAACGCAGCGGGCGTCCCAGAATCGTACGATGTGGGACGGCTGGGACGTTTCGGACACGGCCGATCGCTCCAGGTGGAACGATCCCCGCGGTGCCAGAAGCCAACGCCGAAGTCGGCACGACACGAACCTGCTGTGCTTATAAGCCAGGAGGAGGAGGAGGAGGAGGAGGAGGAGGAGGAGGAGGAGGAGGGGGAGGAGGAGGAGGAGGAGGAGGAGGAGGAGGAGGAGGAGGAGGAGGAGGAGGGGGAGGAGGGGGGGAGGGAAGGAGGGGGAGGAGGAGGAGAAGGAGGGGGAGGAGGAGGAGGAGGAGGAGGAGGAGGAGGAGGAGGATGAGGATGAGGATGAGGCTGAGGAGAGGAGGAGGATCTTCTTGTACCCCCCCCCCCCCCTCATCCACTCAGCAGCCCCCGCGGCGATCCCAGCAGACGGGGCCAGCTGGGGGAGCAGGGTGCCTTGCACGAGGCTTGTGGCTGTTCTCTCGGCAGCCCTGGGGCGGCCTGGTCCCCGGGCCCCGGGATCGGCGGCGAGCGAGAGGGGGGGGGGGAAGTGAGAAGGAGCAGGCCTCCTCCTCCTCCTCCTCCTCCTCCTCCTCCTCCTCACCTCAACCTCCTCCTCCTCCTCATCCTCCTCAACCTCCTCCGCCTCATCCTCCTCCTCCTCTCAGAAGGCGGCGGGCCTTCTCCGAAGCCTTCCGCGGCCTCCTGGAGGGGCCTTCTGCGCGCTTTCGCGGGAGGCTCCGAGAGCACCTCTCCGAAGACCGGGGGGGCTCCCGAGCCTCCCGAGAGGGCCCGCCCCTTCGCACTGTTGCCCCCCGTCCTCGCCGCCAACGGGATTGTCCGACAAACACGAATCGGGCATGTTGCATCCCTGCCCTTTCGGCCCATCCTTGGCGACGTTCGCTTGCCGGCCTCGAGGGCCTCGTTCGAGAGACGCCAACATGGCCCTCCGAGGCCCCTGCATCCTTGCCGCGCGTCCTTGTGGTACGGGTTGACTGCACCCCCCCTGGGCGAAGAACTTGGTTCTGGGGCAGTGCCCCCCCAGGAACCTGGACCCACTTCCCTCCCCAGGCATCCGACAGGCCTCGGAAGAAATGAGCGAACACTCATGCCACACTCATCTGTCAACGCCCCCCCCAATGATCCATGTCGGCGGTGGGTTGAATGAGCTGCACTTCGACCGCAGTCTTCCCTGCGCGTGCCAGCTTGGAGTTTGGGGGAGCGGGGGAGTGTCCGTTAAGTGTTTCTCCCTACCAGGCGTCGTGATTTCTGTTTGCAGCGGGGCTCCCCAGAGGTATGGACCTCTGTCTGGGGACCAGTTCCTCTTCTCTGGGGTCGCTCCCTGACGGCCCCATGGGGACCCGCGAGGACGCCCGGGAGCTGGAATGAAGTCGGGCGCGTGCCTCTACAGGAAGAATGTTCGAGAATCGTTAAAAATGGCCTGGGGGCGATGTTTGTTTATTGTTTCTGAGTCTTTTAGGGTAGGGTATTGTTCGACTATTTGGGGACGATGTCTCATGCCTTCTTGACTCTTTTTGAACCTCTGTGGTGGTATGTTTGGGGCGTTCTTTCAAAAATCCGCCTGTAGGAGGACATGCCCGACCTAGGGCTAGAAAAGGGCAAGCAGCTTGCGTGCGTGAGGATGTCCAGGTATCCTCCGTGCCGAAGAGGAACAGCCTTGCATAATCAGAAACTTTCTGAGTTCTGCGCGGATCCCTCATGATCGGCGTTGGACCTCCCTCCATGGCGCGCAGAGCGCGCCAGAGGTGGCGCTTGAGGCTCCGCCAGGGGGGCCAAGCGCCGACCCCAAGGATCCGCGCTGACCTCCGAGAAAGTTCTGTCACTTATTTGCTACGGCCCCTCTTCGACCCTCCTTCTCTTCCGGCGGCTTCCCTGCATTGCAGTATTCGACACCTTTCCTCCGGCGGCCTCAGCGGGCGGTTGCTACCGCGTTCTGCTGGATGCACGGCTTGATTCGCATCATGCCTTCGAAGGCCTCTTAGAAGACTCTTGGTAGCAGTTTGCGGGCCTCTTGGGGCCTCCTGCGGTCTCTTTTGGGCCTTTTGGGGACCTCCAGTTTTGTGTTGCTCCTCTGTCAAGCCCAGAACGTTCCCGTCCAGCCCTCACGGGGGCTCATAAAGTGTTTATCTGTGCTTGGATTCAGCTGGTGGGCCGAGGTGGCTCAGCATCAGGTCCGGCCAGGGGGGCGGAAAGGGCGTAGGCGGCTCAAAAACCAGTCAGGTTCGACCCCGGGAGGTGTCCGGGGACCTCCTTTGAGCGGATTCACCCTACCCCCCCCGTGTTGACCGATTTCCTGTGGGCCTATCCAGCTCAGACACCCCCGTCCGCCTCCAAGTCTGTGGCGTTTTCTGCCCCTTTGCTCCGATGCCCCACCGCGGAGGTGCGAAGACGGCCAGGGCGATGCTCGAAGAAACTTGTAGGCTGGAGCCCTGAGGGTGCCCCGCTGGCCGGCCGCCCCCGCAAGCGCTGGCACGATGAGTGGGTCTTTCCGAAGAGGCGAGCGCGCCCGATGCCTCTCGGGGCACGGGCGCCGGGGTAGACGGGGCACCACCCGCAGCGTTTCCCCTAAGATCCGACGACGCAAACAAGAATGGTACGTAGCGTCGTAGAACAGCACGACCGGGGCCCTACGTACCGAATGCTTCTGCTGCACTTTTTTCGAGCCGCGTCGGTCTGCGAGGGCCCCAGGGCCCGACATGAGGGCGACGTCGCCTGGCGCGACGCAGCGGCGGCACCAGGACCCCAGACCCCCAGCGTCAAGATTTGTTCCTGGCGTCGACCCTCAGAGGTCTCGACCCCCTCCCCAGGACGGGTTTCTCCTCCTGAGGCGTTTGTTGACGGTCCCGAGGCCCGGTGAGGGCCCCCAGAAGCCGCGAGGAGCGAAACCTGTTGCGTCGTGACGTTTGTCGTGACTCGAGGGGTCTGGGCTGCCTGCCTCCCTGCCCTGCCCGATGCCCCCCCCCCCACGAGGAGGAGGCTCTGCAGAGGCGCCGCGCGCAGGGGCCGCGGCCCCCGCGGCCGGACTCGGGAGGGGAAAGAATACACACTGACACAATGAATCGTCGATTCCCAGGAAGATATGGCATTTGGGCGGGAAGACGAAAACCCCGAATCTATATGTATATGTGAGAATATATATATATATATATATATATATATATATATATGTGTGTATATGCATATGTATCTGTGTGAATATATGTATATATATAGTCATATCTATATGGACTTGCGCGTGAGTATCTATTGGTGTGCCCCTCGGCCCCTTCAAGGATGCGGCGCGCCGGCCCGCGGAGGCCCGAGTGCTCGGCGGCATCGGCGCGCTGCTCCGGCGCTGGGCGCACGTGGCGGGCCAGGCGCCAGCCGAGCGTCAGATGATCAGCAGCGCTTCACCTGTAAGTCGGGCCTGTCCCTCTACAGGGGGAATGTTCTGAAGTAGTCAAAAAATAGTCGGGGGACGAGTTTTTGTTTTAGTCTCTTTGCATCTGTTTGTGTAATGTTTGGCTATGTTTTATCTTTCGTCCAACATCGGGCTGTAGGGGGACAGGCCCGACTTAACCTTACGTCGGGCCTGTCCCTCTATAGGAGTCGGGGGCCCCCAAACGGTGTGGTGACCACACCGTGCGGTGAGTCGGTGGGGATTCGGGGTCACCGCACGGTTTTGGGACTCGAGTCCCTCTCCGAGGGTGTCTCGGGCGACAGGGGCCTCCAGGGTCCCAAGACCGTGCGGTGACGGACCGTGCGGTGAGGTCTCTTGGGGTTACGAGGTCACCGCACGGTCCGTCACCGCACCGTTTCGTGACTGCAAAAGGAGGAATGTTCAAAAATAGTCAAAACATACTCTGGAGGCGATTTTCTGACTAGGGCATGGTATTTTGGGAGCATGTTCCGACTATAATGTTTCAGTTTTCGTCCAGAACCCGCCTGTAGGAGGACACGCCCGACCTAACCCTATCCCCTTCTCCATCCCCGTCCAAATCCCCACCATCCCACCACCCTAGTTGGGGATCTGCCCTTCGAAACTCGAAGAGAACAGCCTATATCCCCATCTATAGGGCGATAGATCGGCCAGTGTGTCCCAGGCCACGCCCGTGGGGATAAGGATCGGTTAGACGATGCTCCGAGGAGGCAGATGTACCCACCCAGACATGATCGCGTCGTAAAACAATTAGGACGGGAGGTTTATCGCTACTTTCGACCCCTGCCTCGCCAGGCCCCGGGACCGTCAAAAAACGAGTCAGGATGACAAACCGGCCCGGGAAAAGGGTCTGGACTTCTGGTGACGCCGTATTGAAAAAGTCAGGACGTCGCATGGCTGGGCATACCCCTACCCTCCGCCCGTTTTCCTCTTTTGAGCCTCCTTGGAGGCCCTCGTCGTTACCGCTGGATTCGCTTCGAAATTCGGGTCAGAAGGAACCCCGGGAGAGGTCTGGGGAGTAGCGGTATCGGTACCTTTTTGGTCGACGCCCCCGAGTCAGGATCCGAGGCGCCGCGAGGGCGCGAAGTGATTCGCGGCTCGCGGATAACTTCGCGGCCTCATCCTGCTCGTCCTCGAGGGGGAAGGTAACCCGGTGCGGCTGCCTGGGCGTCCCTCGGTGCCACGGCGGGACTCGCCTCGAGATCCTGGTCCGACGGTGTGCTCAGGGAGAGGTCGGTAGCAGCGTCTTGTTTCCCCAGATCCGGGCGGAGGGCGGCAGTTCTCCTGGGTCCGGACCTGCCCGCGTCGCTGGTTTTTGGCTGTTTCGGCCTCCTGGGGCCCTCGCCAGGCTCTGGACCTCCAGCGAATGAGATGGGACACCGGCCCTGGAGAGGGGACCTCCGAGGACGCCGCACTGAACACAACATAGCGACGCCAGTTTCTGCTTTCTCATTGGCCCGGGTGGGATGTATACAGGGGGGACGCATCCAGTCGTTTTTTGACGGTCCTGGGGACCGGCGAGGGCCTCCAGGGGTCGAAAATTGCAAACAAAAATGCCGTCTTGATTGTTATATTCCGCGATCATGTCTGGGGCTCGATGTGCGCTTCCTGACGCCAGTCCCCTCCCCCCTCTCGGGCCCCCTCCACTCGGCCTCTGGAGGCTGTTTCTGGGCCTCGGGGGCGTCGGGAAGCTACTCGGGATGAAAGTCCGGCCCTGGGGAAGTGGCCGAGATCCACCTCGCCCGCGCGGACTTGCAGTGTGCTCGCACCAGTCCGGGGCCCGTCCTGATGGGCACATTTTCCACCACCGCTACCAGATGTGGGAGAGGGAGGAGGAAGAGGAGGAGGAGGAGGAGGAGGAGGAGGAGGAGGAGGAGGAGGTGCAGGATGACCTCCTCATCCTCCCTTCTCCCCCGTCCTATATATATATATATATATATATATGGCTATATGGTAGTAGTGGTGGAAAATTTGCCCATCAGGTCTGGTTCGATTCGCCAGCCTATGGACCAGCCGGTGCCGGGCGCGGAGGTGCGATTTCGCGGGACGGTTCGGGACGGTTCCTTGGCGATCCGATGTGCTCGGACGGGGCTATCACCGCCCACCGAACCACCCCAACCCAACTCGAAGGCCCCGGTTTGCCCGCCCTTTCCAGTGTGTGGGGGTCGGGAAACACTGGGCAAAAATACACATGAAGCCCGTAACCCCCCCTCCCGAAATTCGGGTCTTCGGGTTGGGTTGGGGTGTCTAGTAGGTCGCCAGGCCAGGACGAGGATAATCCTTTGCAGCGCGTTCTGGATGGCTCTCCCAGAGCCTTCCGGAACGCTCGGAGAAGCCCGCGGCGCCCGAGGCATCCTCCAGGGCCGCCGGATCTCGGAGCTCCTCGGTGGATCCTCGCTCGCACGCGCGGCGTCGCGGTGCGAGGGGCGTCTCCGCGCCCCAGGTGCCGCCGCGCTGCGCTGGCCGAGCGCCGGGCGCATGACCGCCCGCGGGGCCCGCGCGGGCTGCACGGCGCTGCTCTCCAGGCCTCCCCGGGCACTGGCATATCCTCGCGCCGCGAGGGCAGGGTCGTGGCGGGAGGTGGCCTTCTGTCGCCGAGCGCGCTCCACTGCTCGCAAAGTGCCTGCTCGCAAGCGTCACAGCGCATGTCTGCTTTCGATGTTATGTATCGTAGATCCCCCTCGGCGGATCCAGGCCATTTGCGAGCAGTTACTTCTTGCGAGTAGTGGAACGCGCTCGTCTGTTCTGGCAAGGTTCGACATCCGGGGGCCCTCGCCAGGCCCCAGGACCGTCAGGGTTCGACGAAGGAGTCCCGGGGAGTGGTCCAGACCTCTGCTGGGATCGCCGCGGGGGGTGCTAAGTGGAGATAGGGGCTATCAGTGGATGCCAAGGTGGGTTATGTCTGGCCCACCCCGGCGTATAAGTCGGCTACAATGCCCCAAATAGCTCAGGGGGGGTAATTAGCGATCCGGGCTCCGTGTGCTCCACCCACTTGGCGGAGTTATCTAACACCCGTAAGCCACTCGGGAAATGTGTAACCCACTTGGAAGCCAGGACGGGCCAGGTGCAACCCACCTTACCATCCACCTTGCAACCCCCCCATCGACTGAGCACCCCCCACGGTTACCCCTGTGCGGAGCCACGCTGCGAGAAAAGCAGGCCGTCGGGCGTCAGGGAGCGGGGTCCGAGTGGAAAGGGGTCGGAGGTTTGTCGTGGAGCCCGATGTTCTCACCGCCGTCGTCGTCGATGTATCAGCGGTACTCACGAGCGGCAAAAAGTACGTACACGTACATGAATCCACGCTGGTTTCGAGAGCACGCATTGCGCGGACGTTCGTATCACGCCAGCGGTCTCTCGGAGGGGGGGGGCCGTGTTCATGTGTGCGTGGTTGGGCGCGTACGTCCTTGTTGGGCTCCCTAGATACGGCGCCATGCCCCGACCCATTCACACGGACCCCACATGGGAGGGCCTCGAAAAGGCACAGCGACTGGCCGCTTGACCAGGATCAGCCTGCCTGCTGGCACCCTCTTCTTCAAGACACTTCGCGTTCACCGCCCGCCCATTCCAGTCCTCGCCAGAAGAGACGCAGATGGCACCAAGATTGGGTAAGAATATTTCGATCATAGTGAACGACTCCCCAACATGTGTGTGTTCGTATGTTATCCTGCGCTCCTTTTCTCCCCAATCGCAGCGCAGATTGGGCTCAAGTGTGGTGTGCCGTGTGGCTGATCGACGTCGAATTCGTCGATTAGTCGTCGGCGTGTCATCATTTCGGAGGCCTTGAGATTGACACCAGCACCAATATCGGCGGTGTGCCTCCACCGAGGACAGGTGATCCTGGTTTCGGTGATGGTGGTCAAATACGTGCTACCCAGATGGCCGAACTATTGGCACCAGCATCGAGATGTGGGATTACCTTCCCCCTGGTGGAGGCACCCCCCTGTTCTGGTGTTGGTGCCCATGTTCAGGCCTCCAAGATTTCTCCAACTGAGCAGAGGTATGGACGCCGGCCATCTGGAACCCCCTGTCCCTTCTCCACAGCAGGAGGCCAGAGATGGCCAGAGCACTGCCCGAGACCAGCCAAGGACGGTCCGAGAACACGGCCCCACGAGGCACCCATACGAGGCCCGCAGAGGGCCCGAGGACGGCCAGAAGGGCACGGAGACGGCCCGGGGGAGCCTCTGGACGCCCCACGCAAGAGCACTTCTGCGGTGGGCCGCAGCCCCGTCCGAATTCACGAACCCAGAAAAGACGCCCAATCCCAAAAACGCGAGGGCCAAGGCGAAACGCAGGCTCCTCGAGACTTCGGGGAGGGAGGTTTTTGGGCAGGGTTTCACCAGGGTGGCAACGACGAACGCAATACATACCCCGAAATCCTTGGCCGATCTTCGGATCCTCGGTGAATTGGCGATTTTGGGATTGGGGATGTGTTTTTTCCGGGTCACGAGTGCCATCGAAAACCGGGCCGGTCAGGAGCCCATGGGGGCTTCGTTTTGGGATTCAAGTTGGGCGTGGCATCGTCCAGAATTGGCACCGGAGCGCGTGCACAAACGACATCGAAATTTCCATGTGGAAGCTAGCCCACACGAGCCCGAATGTTGGCTGGTAGACGCGTACAGCCGGCCCTAGGCGAGGCTAAAATCACCCAACACTTGTATTGTGTGTTCAATATTTTCGGAGCTTCGAGTTTGTAGGCGAAGTTGGGTCCAAGAGGCGCTCTTGAGGGCCCCAGGAAAAAAATGGAGGCTCAGAAGGGGCCCGAGAGAGGTGAAATGGAGCCACATTGCGCCCCGAGAGCGTATTGATATCGGTATGAAATGGATGCTCGTCTTGGACGCCGTCTGGAGGCCGTCTTGGAGCTCAAAAACGATAGATGCCGCAGCCGGGCGGCGGAATGGCGCAGTCTCTGGGGGGGGGGGGGTCAGGAGGGGGCTCAAGCCTTATGAAGAGCTCTCACAGGTAAGTCTCACACGCCCCTTAGCCCGGTGGGCGGGCGGACTCAAGAGGCTTGCGCTATTCCGCCGACCCCCAGACGAACGGAGGATCCGATGGAAAATGCCTTGGGCGAGGTAGGGGCTAGAAGGTCTTACACGACGGGCTGGGTTTCAGCCGCTTTGACGGTCATGATGATGGTGCAGATGATGATGGGGAGGAGGAGGAGGAGGAGGAGGAGGAGGAAGATGGTGATGGTGATGAGGATGGCGATGATTAATCCAGAAGCCGCATTAAAGTGATCATTTCCCCCCTCTGTGACAGAGGGGGTGTTTTTCGGAGGCCCTCTGTGACAGAGGGGGTGCGTTTGGAGGCCCTCTGTGACAGAGGGGGTGCGTTCGGAGGCTCTCTGTGACAGAGTTGCTCGTCATCCCGTTCCTCCTCATCCTGCTTCTTGATTTCGGATATGTCATGCTACCACTGCGATCATCATCTTTGCGTCTGTGATCCTCGTCGTGTTGTTCCATGCGTCCTTTTCACATTTTCCACCACATTATTCTCCGTTGCCGTTCTGGCCCGCCATCTACCTCGTCACTCTCCTTCGTCTGCATGTCCTCATTCTCTTCCGCTCTTTTTTCGCCCCCCTCTGGTTCGATTTCCGCTCTTCGTCCACTTCGTTCTTCCGTTTCCAACCCCCCTTCCTTTCAAGTTCTCCGCCGTCCAATCACATCGCGTCGTCCGTCGCCGATATGCTCAACCCATCCCGCGCCCGTGGGATCGCCCGCGAGCAACGGTGCAGCCGGGCCCGTCGCGGCCTAACGCGCGCCTGCGCCATCGTCTTGCGATGGGCGATGCAGGCGGATACACATGGGGTGGCGCGGGAGGATGGTGGGATAGCCGCAGCAGCGGCTGGCGTGGCTGGGAGGACGGCCATGATTGGTCAGCGTGGGGTTGGAGAGACTGGCGACAAGACGGGAACACGCCAACGGAGGACGCCAAATGGCGCGATGGCCCTGCCGCCGCAGCAGCGGCGGCGGTCTCGCCTCAACGGCCGTCTCGCTTCGCCGCGCTTAGCGTTGTGAGCCCCCGCGCCCCTGGTCTCGGCATGCCCGAATTCGATGATTTCGTGAGGGCTGCCCTCCGAAACTCACCAGAACCTGGGGGCACAGTTTCAGGAGAGGGGTCGGGATCCCGAGCCGCGCCTGCGGCGCAGGAGCCCCGCGCCACCGCAGCGGCGGCGGCGCGCGGGCCCCAGGATTTTGAGAAGTTTGATGTTAATTATTTTTTGAGTTATGAAGAGAGGCTCGGCACTTCGTTTAAGCAACACAACCAAGCGTTGAAATGGTGGCGCCACCTGAATGAAGACCCAACTGCCCCGTTCGAGTCAGAAGCCAAGTGGTTTGACAATGTGGAGCCCACCATGGTCGCTGTTTGCGACCACGGTGCGAGAACGAGCTTTGGTTTCAGAAGCGACGAGGAAGTCCCTTGCCGGTGGCAAGAGATGGCGGCGACGCTCAGGGAGGAAGATGCCAGGGAGGTCGTGGGGGGGCCCCGCAGCAGCGGGGCTCTGATCGGCTGTTCCCTCGAAGTCCGGCCAAACAGCTACGACCACATGCGCCAGAGTATTGTGCGCGCGCGACAGTTCGCGGGGCAGCGGGTGAAAGTGAAGCTGCCGATGTGGGATTTCGTGTTGCACCGCGACGACGGGACAGGCGTCCGCTTACACCCGCACTGGGGCGACAGGAAGGTCGAAGCTCTGCCCCTCATGCCCCGCGCGGACACGGTGAGGCCACCAGCCGCGGGTTTGGGCGGGAGCGACGGGTCAGGAACCTATCGCTGGTACAAGGACCTCGGTGTGGAGCGTAAATGCGCAAGGTCAAGTTCGACGCCGCCAGAGAGAAGGGGAGGCCGGCGCCTTCTCAGGGGCCCCGCATCAGCGGGGCCGCGGCGTCCAGCACCGGGCCCTCGGCGTCCGCAGCAGCGGCTGGCAAACCAGTAGTTTGGGGACCGAACAGCTCCCCAGACGATTTGGTTGTGGATTAGGTGGCTCCGCAGCAGCGGGGCTCGAATGAAGGGCGCGTTGCATTTCGGCAGGGGCGCGCGCGTCGGCCGCCGAGATCGGGGGCGCGCGTGCAGGCGCCGTGGCGCGATCTTCGTTCTGAAGTCGCCCCTCTCCTCCCTGTCCCCCCATCCCGCCGCCCTCAACGTCGGCCCCTCGCCGCTCGTTCCTCGTCGTTCCACGCCTGTTCGTTCGCACGGGGGGGGGGGCGGCAGCGTGGCGGAGCCGCGTCCGCAACCCCGCCCCCAGCCTCGCGGGGCGCCCACGAGGGCCCACGAGGGGCCCACAGCCTCCGAGGGCCCACGAGGGACGCCCACGAGGGGCCCACGGGGGCCCACGAGGGGCCCACGAGGGCACACGGGCCGCAACCACGCCCACGAGGGACGCCCACGAGGGGCCCACGCGGGGCCCACGAGTGTCAGGTGCGCTGAAGCAGGCAGCATCTATCTCGTCTCGACTCGGCGCGGGCCCCACTTGCGCGGCCCACGAGGCAGGAGAGCCCAGAATCGACACTCCGCATCGGCGATCAAGATG